GAAAATGTTTTACAGAGGAAGCTTTTCAACATGGTGGAGAACAGATATTCATTCAACAGTGTTATGTCAATTAATCTGAAAATATAACGTTAGATCCAGATTTCACATCATACATCATACCCATTAGACTGAAGTACTAAATCTAATCATTTAAAAAGTTGCTTTAAATATTGTGAAGTAATATAGGTCATTTATTAACCGAACACAAAAGGCATAAGGGAAATGAGATATACCACCACATAAAAATGAACACCAAACATTAAAAGAAAAATTAATACCAATTCTTCATAAACTCTTCCAAAAATTAGAAGTACAGGGAACACTTCCAAACTCATTCTATGAGGCCAGTATTACCCAGATACCAAAACCAGACATAGACGTTACAAGGAAAAAAATCACAGACCAATTATCTCTTATGAACATAGATACAAAAACACTCTACAAAGTATTAGCAAACCAAATCCAGCAACATATAAAAAGAGTCTTATACCATGGCCAGTGAGATTTACCTCAGGAATGCAAGGTTAACATGTAACATCTGAAAACCAATTCACCCTATCAATAGAATAAAGGCCAAACCCCACATGATCAGCTCAATAGATGGAAAAAAAGCATTTGACACAATTCAACACCCTTCCATGACAAAAACACTCTAGAAACTAAGAACAGAAGGGATTCTTCCTCAACCTGAAAAAGGGCATGTTACCCCACTGCTAACATCATGCTTAATGGTGAAAGACAAAGCTTTCCCCCAAGACCAGGAACACGACAAGGCTGTCTAGTCTTGCCACTTCTATTCCATGTTGTACCGAGGTTCCAGCCAGACAAGTAGGCAAGAAAATGAAATAAAAGGCATCCAAGGGTGGAAAGGAAGAAGTAAAACTACCCTCATTCATAGATGACATCATCTTGTACACAGACGATCCTAGGTTTTCATCCACTAAAAACACTATTGGAACTAATAAATGAGCTCAGCAAGGTAGCAGGATATAAGATCAATATACGAAAATCAAATGTATTTCTATACACTGTGTGGTAAGCGGGATCACGGCTCCCCAGAGATGTCCCTAATCTCCAGCACCTGTGAATACATGACCTCACGTGGAAAAGGGGACTTTGCAGATGTGATTAAGTTAAGGATATGGGATGGGAGATGATCCTGGATTATCTAGGTGGGCCCAGTGTAATCACGAGGGTTCTTACAATGGAAAGAGGGAGGAAGGAGAGTCAGAGTCAAGGAAAAACAGGACAACAAAAGACGAGCTCAGAGTGACGCAATTTCTGGCCAAGGAACGCAGGGATCCTCTAGAAGCAGGAAACGGCAAGTAAAGGAATTTTCACCCAGAACCCTGCTGACACCTTGATTTTACCTCAGTGAGACCTATTTCAGACTCCTGACCTCCCAAACCGTAAGATAATAAGCTTGTGTTGTTTTACGCCACTGAATTTATAGTAATTTGCTATAGCAGAAATAGGAAACATACAAACTGCAACAGAGTGAGAAAATCCCACTTACAACTTAGAAATAAATCTAATAAACACGAAACTACAAGCACTGCTGAAAGACGTGAAAGAAAACCTGTGTAAGTGGATGGACATTCCATTTCATGCATGAGAAGGAATGAAATTGCTAAAATCGTAATCCCCAAGTTGATCTACAGACTCAATGCAGTCCTCATCAGAATTCCTCGTGGCTTCTTTGCGGAAACTGATAAGCTGATTTCAAAATTCACAGGTAAATTCAAAGGGTCCAGAATGACTGAAACAATCTTAGAAAGAAAAACAAAGTTGGCACCAGCACAAAGATAAGCATATCCTTGGAATAAAATTGAGAGTTCAGAAATAAACCCTCACAGTTATGGTCATATGATTGCCAAGGCAACCAGTGGAGAAAGAAGAGTCTCTTCAACAAATGGTGCTGGGATAGCTGTACATCCCCGTGTAGAAAGTTACACCCCCTATGTCACATCACATGCAAAATTTACTCCAAACGGATCAAAGACTTAAATGTAAGAGATAAAACTATAAAACTACTTGAAGAAAATATAGGGGTATATCTTCAAGACCTTGGATTATGTAATCGTTTTTGAAATGATACCAAAAGCATAAGCCATAAAAGATATATAGATAGGAGCTCAGGGGCGCAGTGGTTAAGAATCCGCCTGCCAATGCAGGGGACACGGCTTCGAGCCCTGGTCCGGGAAGATCCCACATGCCGTGGAGCAACTAAGCCCGTGCGCCACAACTACTGAAGCCTGTGCGCCTAGAGCCCGTTCTCCACAACAAGAGAAGCTACCGCAATGAGAAGTCCGTGCACCACAACGAAGAGTAGCCCCCACTGGACACAACCAGAGAAAGCCCATGCGCAGCAACAAAGACCTGATGCAGCCAAAAATTAATTAATTAATTAACTTCCTTTAAAAATGGAAAAAACTGTGCTTCAAAGGACACCATCAAGGAAGTGAAGACAACCCACAGAATGGGAAAAAATATACTTGGAAATCATAAATCTGATAAAGGACTTGTGTCTAGACTACATAAATAACTCATAACTCGATAATAAAAAGACAACCCAATTAAAAACAACGGGCAAAAATCTGAATAGACATTTCTGCAAAGATATACAACTGGCCAGTAAGCACACGAAAAGACGCTTAACCTCATTAGCCATCAGGGAGATGCAAATCAAAACCAAAGTAAGAAACCACTTCACAGGCACTAAAGATGGGCAAAATCAAAAAGACAATGTGTGTCATACCGAACCCTCAGGCACTGATGCTGGGAAAACAAAATGGTGCAGCTGCTCTGGAAAACAGTGCGGTGGTTCCTCCACCGCGAAACACAGGGCTGCCATATGACCCAGCAATTCCACTCCTGGGGACATACCCAAGAGGAGAGAACACACGTCCACACAGCAAGTTGTTACAGCGATGTTCACAGCAGCATCATTCACAACAGTCAAGTGCTCATCAGTTGATGAGTGTATAAGTGAAATGCGACATATCCCTAAAACGGAACGTTGCTCAGTGATAAAAAATGACGCACTGACATATGCTACCACAGGGATGAACCTCAGAAACATTACGCTAAGAAGCCCGTTGCAAAACACCGTATATCATATGATGCCATGTGTATGAAATGTCCAGAACAGGCAAATCTACACAGACAGAAAGTACATTTTGTGGTTTTCTAGGGCTGCGGTAGGGGTGGGAGAAAAGGAAGGGGAGTGAACGTTAACGGCTATGGGTTTGGTGGGGAGATAATAAAAATGTCCCAAAACTGATTTTGATGATGTGCTAAAACCACTGAGCCGTACATTTTAAATCATCTTATTTAACCATATCTCAATAAACCTGTTACTTAAAATAACACAAGTCCACAAGCATACATTTTATAGTCTTTATAACGCACATACAGCAGTTATGTAGTAACTGTATACTTAAAAGTTTTTACCTGTATATCACACCTCCTGGTATCTTATTTTTTCAGTCACAGTTATCTTTCAGATTAATCCATTAATAAACTTATTGTATGAATAAAAACTTTTAATTGTTCAATCCTAAAATATACCAAAGGAAAACCTTCCCTCAATCCCGTACACTTTGCCAGCTGCCCCATCTCACCGCTCCCCTTCAGAACGAGACTTCTCAAGTTTCTACGCGTACAATTTCCGCTTCCTTACCCACTCCCACCCCCTTTATTCTACTCACGCTGCACTGACACTGTTGGTCAAGGTCACTGTCAACCTCCGTGTTACCACAGATACCGGATTTCAACTTAAGAGGCACATTTACAACTATTTCCAACAACTCTAAACTGGGACGTTTTACGGTTTGACGGCATCCAGCCCTTCTAAATGTTAGCATTTTTGCCTTAGTAGCATATTAAAATAATGGTGATTCTTGTATCAGGTGGCATCTGACATTGGATGAAACACGGCACAGGGGACAGATCTGTCGTCTCACCTGACCTGAAGCTGTCTGGGTCCCAGTTGACCTCAACCTTCTTGAAAGGTTTCCCTTTCCTGGCTTCAAGAATAATCCCTCCTCTAGTTTCCCCCAGCACCTGCCCGTTCCTAAGTGTCCTTTGCTGGTTCACACGACGGGCACTCAAGCTTCCAGCGGCGATCGCCTCTCTCTGCTCTCTGCAGGGTGATTACACCCAGCCCCACGGGGACACCTGTTGGACCACTACAGCTCGTGCTCAAACCTCCACTCAGCAGCCCAGACTCAAACCTGCCCGCGAAGTTCCCGTTTCTCCTGGGACGTCAAACGCATTTCCAGCCAACTCGTCTACATGAAGCTCCCGGTTTTCCCCTGACCTCAGCCTATCTCTCAGGCCAGAAGCCTGGTCATCACCCATGGCTGCTTTTCTCCCAGTACTTCTTATTCATGAGATGCAAAATACACCTAAAATAGGTCCACTGTCCCCGTCCCCTGGTCCAGACCACCGCCATCTCTAGGCTACACCCCATGCTCCCATTCAGCCCCTCCATTACTCTCTCCACTCACTTCCCTGTGGCCGGAGAGGACCTCCCTGTAAAACACGTGGGACCAGCTTCGTCTCCTGCTTACAAGCCTCAGGGCCATGTACTGCAGTCAGACTCAGAGCCTTACTGGACCTGTGTGATACTGTGATAGAGTAAGAAATATATATTCTGGTCTTCATCCCAGCTCCTGGCCAGACTCTAAAAATACCTTTGTAATTTCCTAAGTGATAAGAGACACTGATAGAAGCGTCTTTTGTAGTAAGATCTGGGTTTTATCCCTCGCTCCAGAAACAGCTCTGGAGTAATTTAGGTGAAAAGAATGTCTTCGTTATTCTTAACAAGACCCTTTTGACCACTCCTAAGTTTGTTAAGGAGGTGAATTTTGGAAAGCCCCTAAGGAGAGGGCCTAGTTGCCAGGGGAACCAACCAGGTGATCAGAGGGTTGGAACTTGCCCCAGGCCCTGACCTCCTGGGAGGGGAGAGGGGCTAGAGGAGGAGCTAATCTAATCACCCAGGCTGATGATCCGACCAGCACGCACGCCATAATGAAGCCTCCACAAAAATCTGAACTGAAGGGGTTCAGAGGACTTCCAGGCTGGTGACAAGGACACATCCACACTGGGATGGTGATGCACCCCGCTCTCCATGGGGACCGAAGCTCCTGTGCCCGGGACTCTCCGTCTGGTTGTTCATCCACATCCTGTAATATAGCCTTTGTAATAAATCGGTTAATGGAAAGAAACTCGCCCTGGGTCTGGGAAGCCGTTACAGCGAGTTACCGAACCCGAGACGGGGCGTAGGAGTCTCTTATTTGCAGCCCAGCTGGACAGAGGCGCAGGTGAGCTGTGGCTGGCGTCTGAGCCGAACCTGTGGGGTCTGCTTGGACTCCTGTAGTTGGCGTTGGAGCTGACGCCCAGTCTGTGACCGCAGACAACCGGACAATGGGTTGGCGTGAAAATGCACACGTGAGGTGTTGCATACGCGCAGAAAAAGCTTTCCTTTCAGCCTGCAAGCCCAGCCTGCCTGCTCTGCTTCAGCCGTACCCACTCCCGCTTGTGAGGAGCCCCTTTAGGGGGTCACCTCCCCCTAACGCAGGCCCACAGCACCGATCCTTCCTCCCGGCTCTTCCTTACCTGCTGACTGGAGTCCATCTGCCCCATCGCGCCAGACACCACGTCTGACGTGCTCTTCAGGCCTGGCAGCCGCACGGCAGGCTCTCCAGGATTTGGGGGAGGAGGTGAGTGAGGCATCAGACATACCGTGTCATCAGACGTCCGCAGGGCTTTCACCCGAGTCCTCACCTTGAAAGGTTCCAGAAGGCAAAACCTGCACAAGAGGGACGATCCAACGCGAGGAGACACTTCCGCTCCGTCTCGGGTAAGAAGCAGGAAGACCCAGAGGCGTGCAGCGCCCCGGGGGAGCTGTCAGAGCGCGGCTGTGCTAGGGCTAGCAGGGCTGCTCCCTCCACAGCCTGGTCACCTCCAGCCCCTCTGGGTGTACAGGTCTGTCCCGAGGTCCCCTGATTTCACGGAGACCACAGAGGCAGCAACCGAATTCCCCAGCAAGACCGGACGCACAAACAAAGCCGCTCTCCTAGCCCGATCCTCGCCTGCAGGAAACCAGAGGCGAAAGGTGGAAGGGCCTTCAGGGCAAGTCCAGGAGAGCCTGCGTTACAGTATGAAAACGGAATTCAGACCAGTGTTCAGGTTTACTCCACTTTATTAAAAACTACAACGACAGAACAAGAACTCAGTGTACAAATGAGAGAATGAGGAAAGGGCCAGGTAGGAGAACAGATCACACAGCAACGGTGAGGGGGTGGCCCGGCTCCGATGACCCTCACCATCTGACCCCAAACCCACTCCTCCCACTGGCGGAGGCCAAGGCTGCAGGGCCGTCAGAGGACGCGAGGCTGTGCCGACAGCTTAGGGTCCCATCTGTGCAGGACCCACACGCTGCCCCTACTCACGGGAGCCTAGAGAAGGCTGCAGGACACAATTCAGAAAAACGCTGCAAATACTGAGAACTTGCTCTTCAACCACAGGCAGCAAAAGCAACAGGACACGGAACTCATGCCAAGAGGCCAGCAGTTCTGGTGACACCCTTCCGTGCTCAGCACCCTAGAACAGCCCCCAGGGGCCCGAACACAATCGACTTCAATCCCCAGAAGGTCAGGCAAACCTCCTGCAAGTGGTGGGCGGTTGTCAGAGGGCTGAAAACGCAGCTCTGGGAAGTCAAGTGCCCCAAGATGAGAGCAGAGGAAGTGAGTCAAGGAAATAAAACACCTCGGACGTGGGGTGGATGGAGCCACACGGCACCGCTGCGAGCCCGGCCCCACGACTCGGAGCCCCGCGCAGTTTGGTTTTGGGTCCCTGCAGCAGAGTGAAGTCAGCACCAGGTCTGACCTTCCACCAGGACCACGGAGCTGCCGCGGACGCTCAGAACTGCTGAAGGATCATCTTGCGTTTCAGGTCGTGGGTGAACTTGTGCATCCTGAAGAGCTCACTGTCGTAAAAGGCAGACAGGTTGTGGATGTTGATCTGACGAGCCTGAAAAGAGGGGACGACCGGTGAGCCATGCGGACGCGTGGGCAGGTCCCGAGCCCGAGGCCCCAGCAGGGGAGGCAGGCAGGCGGGGCCTCTGTCCCCGTCACAGGGAAGAGCGAACCGCTCTGAGGCCGAGGGAGGGTCTGCAGCTGGACACGGGGCTTGAAATTTCAGCCCGGACAACGGCCGTGAACTTGGACAAGCTGCGTGGTTGCCCCGGCCCGGCGTGTCGGCAGGACGGATGACAGTAATGGGACAGTAGTAGGACACGTGCGTTGTGACGGCCCGGGCAAACCCCGCCCCTGGCCATGCCCATACCTTGTCCACCAGGTCCTTCTCGGGCACCTCGATCGTGTCCTGCTGGGCCCCGAAGCGGTTGCGCTGATACGTCACCTGCTCGGCCACCAGCTGCTTCAGGATGAAGAGCAGCAGCTCGTTGTTGTCCCGGCGGAATGACAGGTAGCGGGCAAAAGTCTACGGCGAGAGCAGAGGTGACCCTCCTGCCAGGCCCCCCCAAGCCAGCTGCTCCTGGCAGCAGAGGCAGGTTGGACTCCCGCGGCCCAGGCCCCCGCCCCCATGGCCCAGGCCCCGCCCCCACCTTCCGCATGCTGCGCATGACGCTGAACTTCTGCGTGTCCACGAAGCTCTCGAGCATCACGCGGATGGCCATGTTGACGTCATCCTCCATCACGTAGTCCCGCAGGTGGATGCGTGCGTGGGCCTCAGCCATGCGGATCATGGATTCGATGTGACGCACCGTGATGGGGATGCTGCCCGTGGCCTGGAGGGAGGGCCGCGTCAGGTCTCCCCGCGGGACAGCCAGCACTTGGCGGAGGGGCAGAGCTGGTGCCGCCGGGAGGCCCAGCTGACCCCCCTGCAGGGCGGCGCCCACCGGAGCCAGGCGCGCCCAAGCTTCCCCTGGTTCCCAAAGCACGAAGGCTCACGGCTGCCACCGCCAGCCCAGCACGTGTGCTCCTGGCAGCTCCCGGGCACCTGGAGTCTACACGCCTGTGGGTGACTGTATTTGTTACTGTCAGGTACCAGGGACCGCCTGACGCAGTGCAGCACAGGGAGAAAACAAAGCTGTGCTGCTGTGAAGCCCAAGCTAATGCTCTGAAATGACCTGATTAAGTGAAAAGGTGTTGTTAGGAGGGAGGGAAAGGGCAGGAGCGGTGGCTGTCATGCTTCGGTAGGTGAGAGGGAGCAACCTGCAAGAACTCTGCAGTCCACCTGCTTGCAAGCTGCCTTTAAATTCTCTCCCCACCACGAGTGAACGAAAACTAGCTCAGGGGCGTGCTCATTCGGGTGAGATATTTGCAAAGTCACTGGAACTAAATCAACGGCCCAAGAACAAAGACCTCAGCTGTACCCTGAGACAGACAAATGCACGTACGTTTAAGTTCCGTCTAAACAAAACAGTTAAGGCGAGTAAGTATCGTGTCTTTAAGGCCGTCCTGCTGCTCCAGTGCTCCTGGACCCACTGAGCACACAGACAAGGCTCTGCCGTGCGTCCCCCTCTGCCCCACCCCACCTGCCCCACCTGGCCCTCACCATGGATTCCTTCCTCAGGTCACTGTACATCTTGGCCACCTTGTCCTGGTCCATCTGGTTGAGCTTCGGGTGGACCTTCTCCTTGGCGTAGATGATGTACTTCTTCAGGACCTCCTGCGGCAGGGGCTCCACGCCATATGTGTTGGGCATGGGGGGCTCCGGGGCGCCCCCCAGGCCCCCATCCTCCTTGTTGCTGGGGTGATGTCTGATGTGGCTGCCGACCACGAAACGGGCCAGCATCTCATCCTGAGACAAGACGGAGAGGACAAGAGCGTGCTGAGCCTGGCGCCTGGCTTGGAGCAGGTCAGCTCACTGAAGACGCTCTGTAACGACACGTGTCCCCCACCTGCTATGGGCCGGGAGCTCCCGGGGTGCACCCCCCCCAGTGAGGGCAGAGGAGACAGACAGAGTTCACACTATAGGAAGAAGAGAAGCACGTGGTGGGATGGAGGCCGGAGGACAGCCTCCAGCTGAGGCCACCAGAGCCCCAGTCACGACACCTGGGAGAAGAGAACAGAGCGCGAGTGAAGCCCGAGAAGGTGAGGGGGTGTGGATGAGGAAGGGGCAGGGGGAGAGACCTCTCGGGGATGGTGGACTCCCTGCCAGAGAGATGGGATGGGAGGCCGAGAGCAGGTCTGTAAGGAGAGGCAGGTCCGCCGTGCCCCCAAAGACAGCTGGCCTCTGACAGGAGAAGCCGGGGGCCCAGCACCAAGGCTGCAGTGCATCGGGCCACAGGAGGGAAGCTGGGACGAGGTTCATAGCAGCGAGAAGTGAGGAGACTCGGGAGCTGGTGGCAGAGCGTGGGCGATGCTGGGTGGGTGGCCAGGGAGGGGGTTGGCGAAGGAGAGAAATCAAGGAACTCTGGACTGAGAGCAAGTGGAAAACACACGGTCCACATGGCAGCCCTTCCCTGAGCCTGGCGAGCCACAGCCCTGGGCCAACGCCAGGTCCCCAAACTCACTGCGCACACCCAGGGCGTGGGCTCCATACCTGGACTGGGTCCACCGTGTCCCTCACCACACACAGGACGTCGAAGCGGGAAATGATGGGCTCCGTGAGGTCCACGTTTTCCGAAAAGGTGAGCGAGGGGTCATAGCGGCCACCTGCATCACAAAGGCAGGTCCCCATCAGGGCTCCCGCTCCCCGGGGCCCCTCTTCTCCTTGACTATACAAGGTTCTTTCCAACCCGTGTGGCTTCAGTGACGAGAGGGGAATCAGTGGTGGAGGGATGCAGGGCCTGCTTCAGGCACCCCGGCAAGCCCGCGTGAGGCTCTCCCCACGCTGCCCCAATCGGCCCAAGGCCGCTCAGCTGCCTCCCGCGAGGAAAACCCGGGGACAAGATGGCAGGGGCGCCTGGGCTCTCTAACCACTTGCTGGCTGAGACCAAGGGCCAGTCCCACCCTATTAAGCGCTAGGTGCTCCTCCTGTCTCCCGAGAACACGGCTCAGCGAAAGCCTGGGGGTCTCCCGTCCCCCCACCCCACCCCCAGCAGGAAACGCAGGGGAGGGGCACTTGCTGCTGCTCGGTGTCTTCCTCAGACTCAGCGGCACGGGTCCCAGAGCAGGGCCCCCGGGTCTGCTCCCCCCTGGCCGTCGCAGCCACGCACCTATGGGGTTGGCGGCAGCAATGACGGTGCAGCGGGCCTGCAGGGAGGTGACGATGCCGGCCTTGGAGATGGAGATGCTCTGCTGCTCCATGGCCTCGTGGATGCTGGTCCTGTCCTGGTCGTTCATCTGCACGGCGGGCAAACGCGGGATTCTTGCCCGACCGCGGTCTCTCAGACGAGGCCCCCACGCTCCCCACCGAGGGCTCAGCCCACACGTCAGCTCTGGGCCCGGGGACCCACCTTGTCAAATTCATCGATGAGACACACTCCTCGGTCCGCCAGGACCAGGGCCCCAGCCTCCAAGGCCCACTCCCTGCTGACGGGGTGCCGCTGGACGTACGCCGTGAGGCCCACGGCCGAGGCCCCCTGGCCGGTGGTGAAGATGGCTCTGCTGGACACTTTCTCAATGTACTTGAGGAACTGAGACTTGGCCGTGCCGGGATCTCCACAAAGGAGCACGTTGATGTCACCTCGCACCTTGTGCTTGCCGCCTGGGGGCAGGAACGGGGCAGAGGGGGGCTCAGGACAGAGCTGGATTATCCCCGATTTCCCAGCCTGCTTACTGCAAACAACAAAGCAATATTCTTTCTAGAAAGGGATGTAATGCCCAGGACCAGCCACCCCACTCTGAGCACAGAACCCAGAACCATGGTGCACAAGGAGGTGCCTATGAAGACTCTGTTTGTAATGTACACACTGGAGGCCATGCACGTGCTCTCCAGCCAGGAGGACAGCTGAATGCGGCACGATGTGGACCAGCACACAGTAACTTCAGAGCGTGAGCTCGTTCTCTGTGTGCCCACAGGAAACGATGCCAAAGCCGTGCTGACGGGGCAGCTGGGTACGTCACGGACAGACCCTCACACACAGACAGGGAGCACTACACTGGCTAGTAGAAACATGCCACAGTCACGGAGTGCCGTGTTTTCCGTATCAGCACACGTGTAATCTATCTGAACAGCCACACAAAGTTCTGCCCATGTCCCCCCGACACCAACCAGGTGACCTGCAGGGAGGGACCATGATGAGACAGGGAGGTCAACGGGGGCTTCGGCCCCTCTGAAACCTCTAACAACTCCAGAAAAGGATGTAATACAAACACACATTCAGGTATTATTTCTACAGTTAAATCTGTGCACAGTGGCATGGCTGTGGGCTGCGTTCTCCCTGGGATGATGAGCCACCCGTGGACATATCCTTCTCCCGGGACACCGGGAACTGCTCCCACCAAGCCCCCTGCAGAGAAGGTAGCCCGCCTGCCCCACTCACCAGGGTTTTTGGGCTCCCCTCCAAACAGAGCCAGTGCCAGGCCTCGCTTGATGTCTTCGTGCCCGTAGATGGAAGGAGCAATGCTGGCAAAGATCTGGGGGTGGGGGGCGGGGCGATGGGAACGGTCACCATGTGCTCCGGCCTGGAGCGCCCATACACAGCTGCAACTCCCCCGACCCCGCATTGAGACCCACCCCCATCCCACCCCCAACTGCGGGCCTTGTACTTGGTTGGCTCTTCCCGAGTCACCGAACCTGAAAGCTGACCAGAACCCTGGCCTGACCCCCTTCACTTCGTCCTGTTGCAGGACCACCCCAAGGTCGCACGCAGAACAGGAGCAGGAGACGAGACCCAGGCCCGCGTGGGCGGGGGTGGGCTCCAACAGCACGGACGCAGAAGACCCCACCCAGGATCGGTGGCCTGCCTGAGCCTGTGTCCTCGAATGGAAAGGAGATGACACTGCCCAGGTCACGGGGGCTGTGAGCACTACAGGAGGGCGTCTACACAAGCCCGGCTCCCGCAGGACTGCAGGTACCGAGCTCAGAACACGGGGCGGCCGGGAGATGGGCCCACCGGGAGGTGAGACGTTCACCTGGAAAGCCGTCGAGACATTTCGCCAATTGCTCTGGGTGTGTGTGTGTGTGCATGTGTGCGCGCGCGTGTGTGTGTGTGTAAGAGAGAGGAAGAGGGTTTCCCTGGTGGCACAGAGGTTAAGAATCCACCTGCCAATGCAGGGGACACGGGTTCGATCCCTGGTCTGGGAAGATCCCACATGCTGCGGAGAAATTAAGCCCGTGCGCCACAACTACTGAGCCTGCGCGCCACAACTACTGAAGCCCGTGTGCCTAGAGTCTGTGCTCCAGAACAAGAGAAGCCACCGCAATGAGAAGCCCGCGCACCACAATGAAGAGAAGCCCCCACTCGCGGCAACTAGAGAAAGCCCGCGTGCAGCAACGAAGACCCGATACAGCCAAAAATTTTAAAAATAAATAAATTTTTAAAAAGATGAGAGACAGTCAACGAGTCAGTGTGTAGACCTTACTTGGACACTGACCACAAGAAACTTTTCAAAAACAGAGACCACCAGGGAACTGTAGACCCAAGTGAACATCAACCCTAGGAACTGCTGGTATCTTCAAGTGTGACAGTGGTAGTGGGGTCAGTTTAGTAAAAAAAGAGCCTTGAGAGACACACTGATGTAGGTGCAGGTGCAAGGGCGGGTCTGAATTTGTGTCAGAATAACAGGGGGGGCTTCCCTGGTGGCGCAGTGGTTGGGAGTCCGCCTGCCGGTGCAGGGGACGCGGGTTCGTGCCCCGGTCCGGGAGGATCCCGCGTGCCGCGGGGCGGCTGGGCCCGTGGGCCATGGCCGCTGGGCCTGCGCATCCGGAGCCTGTGCTCCGCGGCGGGAGAGGCCACAGCAGTGAGAGGTCCACGTACCGCAAAAAACCAAAAAACAAAACAAAACAAAACACAAAAACAGGGAAGGGGGCTGCACAGAGGAGCCCAGACCAGCCATGACCTCGGGGATAGGAGAAGTTGGCAAAGGACACGCAGGGTTGCCACACCATGCCACACTCGCGTCTCACAACTTCTGTGGTGACTTTTAATACGTGGGCCAGGGTCCCCTGGAACTCACGATAACCTTGAGCTGGGTCCCCTGGAACCCGACACTCAGAGGCACCTCCCACACGTGGGAACCGCATGGGGGGGCAGAGGGCGGCCCCTGGAAGCAGGGGTGGAGGCCGGACGGCCTGGCGGGACCCTGGCTCTGCCACTTGTTAGCCGCGTGACGTGGGCGTCTTACGTAAACCAGGCCCCCACCGCCCCACGTCTCGGGTTACTCATCAATAACAAGACACAGACAACCCTCTGCAAATCGCTCAGTGGCCAGCGGATACTCGGCGCTCCGTACACGTTAACGATCCCCTTACTGAGCCCCCACCTCTGTTGGGAGAGACCTCATGCCAGGACTGCCCAGCCTGGGCGTCTCCACCCAGACCGTTTCTCGGTGCTGTTTGGGCACCAGGCACCTCGCAGGATGAGGTAATGTCTCCCTCTGGGACCAAGGGCAGCAGCCTGCTTCCTGCCCGCTGTGCTCGCAGGCTCCCTGTGCCGTCCCTGCCGGCCTGAAGGGCACAGGAGCGGCCACACCACTGCCACACTGCTCGGTGCACCCGTGCTGACCCGGCTACCTTAAGTGTTAGGGCAACTTAGCGCCTGGTAAGAGGGGTGAACCCAAACCCAGACCTGCCAGGGCGTGACGCCCACTTCCCAAGGATTACTCCATTTGCCACTACGACCTCCACGTCACACAGGAGGAGACAGACCACCTACTGCTGAGGAGGCCCAGGACCCGAGCCCAGGCTCCTAACACTCCTAAGCCTCAGGTGCACCGCCCACCGCCCTCAGACAGCCCAGCACCCACCTGCACGGCCACAGGGAGCACAGGAATCGTCGAGCGCAGGCCCCAAAGCTGTGCTCATCCTCCCGCTGGCCCTTCCAGCGCCCCAGCTGTAACAACCTGTAACCGTGACCGCTGGCCGCGGACACCCCACGCCTGCTCGCTTACCTGCTTAACCTTTAGAACAACTCCGCGAGTGGGTGCGACCCCCGTCTCTGCTCGCAGCCGGGGCAGCACATCTGATCACACCGAGCACGATGCCAAACCTCAACCCTAAGTCTGGCTCCAGGCTGCGTGCGTCTCCTGTCACTTCTTCAAACTCTGTGTCAGGCACAACGCACATCTCTCGAATGCTTCACCCCGCCAGCACCCACGAGATCCAACGCCCACGGCGGCAAGCTGGGTGGAAGCCGGACTGATGCAGGCGGGAGAGCCCAGAGCCCACCGCAGTGGGCAGCCGGCAGACCGGAGGGAACCCATCTGAGGGCGGCGGCCACCCAGCACACCACTTGCTCCTAAAGACACAGACCACCCGACTTGGGATATCGAAACCTGGGCGCCCACGTTTTTATGTGAAGTCTCCCTATTCCTAAGGAATGATAACTCATTCAAACATTTGGAAAAACAAAAAAACAACCACGTACCAGTTGGAAAAAACCCGTCGACAGGCTGGATGGGGCCCACCAGCCACCAGCCGGCAAACCTCCGGCTCCAACCGTTCCAATGAGCCTGACCATTTCTGGATCTTCCCTGTCACCCGTCAACCTGTCTCCGAAGTGGCAGAGGGCGCAGAGGGAAGTCACGGCAGGCAGAGGGCAGGCGGGCGCTAGGGAAGTGTTCTAGAAGCACACGGACCCCCCGCACCTGCACACGTCAGGTGTGTGTGTAGACAAGCTGACACATGCCTGGGACTCAGAGTCCCCCGCCCTCAGAAACCGGCCCAAATGCTCCGTCAAGATTCTGAAAACATGCTCGTCACACTAGCACTGGTTTCCCTCGGCGGGGGCGGGGCAGAGAAGGGGGGTTGCCGGGGCTGTAGTAAAGGACAAGCCCCATGAGGGTGACAACCGGGTCTCACTTCCCACCGAGAAGCCTGAACAACGCGGCCCTGGAGGGTCCCTCAGGACCCAGCACATTGGTGGAACTGCAGTGCCTGTCCTCCTGGGGCTAGGGACACCCGCCTTCCCCATGTGCCCCCAATCTTGGCAGACTAATAAAGGTGGCCAACGGGGGTGCAAGGACCTGAGCTGTGCGGCAGCAGAGCAGCCAGGGAGAGAGCTGGGCGGTCCTGCACCAACAAGAGAACAGGAAGTGGGGAGGCGAGGGGAGAGGGATGCCAAGGGGGCTGGGGGAGGGCCACGAGCCTGAGGGGCCACCCGGCGACCCAGGAGCCCGAGGGCCGTGCGGCAGAACTTCTATCAACAGGAACTTAACGTCCTACGGCTGAGACTGGAACAACCCGGGTTTGATCTGCGCGGGTCCACTTACACGTGGACTTTCAACAGAGTCGGGGTGGGCGCCCCTCACCCCTGCACTGTCCAGGGGTCGCCTGTAGTTGTAAATTCTGCAACGAAAACCCCCGTCCCCCCAACCTCAGCAAAAAGCCTACAGTTAAAGGGAAAAGCAAACCCCCGTGCTGGGGTAGCGCTATTCCTGGAGAAACGACTGGGGACAGGGGTCTGATGCCACGGGACACCCTACCAGACAAGCTTTTCCTACTGCCCCCCCGGTTTCCCTTCCAGTCCAAGCCCGGCACAACCTGAGGAACCCTGACCTCACCCGTGTCCTCGCGGGCAGGACACAGGCTCAGGGGGGCTGCCGGACGTTCTTCCCCTGGAGCACAGCCCCCGCCAAGTCAAGTGGACTGAGTGGACACAGGGAACCAAACGAAGGGACCAGCTTCCAAGACCTGGGCACCAAGACGGAGGCTGCAGGGTGGGCCAGACGGTGAGCCCCGGGTACCCTGACTCTGCGGCCGCCCCGCCCGCCCGCCTTCCACCTGCCTTCTCCCCAATCTGCTGGTCCTTGGAGAGGCTGGTGATCTTCTTCACGTCCTCGTCAGTCAGCTCTCCCACGGCCACCTTATTGTCCTTCTTGGCCACGTGGTTGGCTAGGATGACAGTGGCGAAGACGGGAAAGCCGTTGGCAGTGTTGAGAGCCCCATCGTAGTTGTTGTGGTAGATGCCGGTCAGCTCCTGGGGGGTACCGAGTGGTCAGGAGGGCCACCCCGGGGCCAGAAGCACGGGCCGGGCCCGCCTCCTCACTGGCTTCACCCGACCCCTCCTCCGGGTCCCTGGGTCACCGGCAGGAGAGCAGTAACTCAGCAGAACCGCAGCACGCTGCTCCCGAGCCCAGCACCCAGCTGGCCGTCCACCGCAAGGAGAAGCTCAGTGCTAGAGATGGGAGAGCTGACCTTGACCCGCTCCCCGGGCTACCGCCACCCGTCCCCCGCCACAGCGCTCACACCAACTTCCTCGGCCCCCCGGCCACTCACTATCTCGTCTCCCGGCTTGCAGCTGTCCACCAGGTCCGCGAGGAGGATGGCATCCTTGGAGCGGGGCAGCCGGCCGGCCGCCACTTTGCCAGGACTCTCCTGAATTCGGATGCGCTGGTAGTTCTGGTAGATGGTCTGCGTGGGACAAACAGATGGTCAAAGGGACCTGTCCCTAGCCGGCGAAGCCTGGGCTGTTGTCCAAGCACCGATTCTTTGTCACCTGAACTGGACCAGTGCCCTGGGGCAAGGAGAGCAGCGTTATCATTCCCACCACTGACTAGGATACGCAGAACCAACGATGGCAGGGGGGCGAGCCACTGTGACCAGCGCCACGGTGCACGGTCCCCGCTCCTGCCACCCCGCCCCCCCGCCCCAGGATGCCTCCCTCCTGCCAGAAGCCAGAGCCCTGTGACAGGCCCTACAGCTGAGCGCAGTGCTCGTGGACACTGGAGCCAGGCTCCGCTGTGGCCTAAGCTGTGTGGCCCGGGCGAGGCCTCCCCCTCTCCGTGCCTGCCCCGCAGAAGGGAGGTCCAACGCTGCAGCCTCAGCCACACAGGGAGAAGGAAGTCACGTCACACGTGAAAAGCACTGAAACCAACGCCCACGAAACAAGTTACACCAAGTGTGGGCTTACTGTCGAGGTCACAGGGCAGCACTGTGCATGCAACCTAACATCCATCATCTCACCTACTGTCTAGAAAAGAGCCACAGGAAAAGGTGGTTTTAAGCACACGCTCTGCATCAAAATGCTTCCGTTCTAATCCTCTGGGCCACCTCCTGGCTGGGTGACCTCAGCCGGTTACTTCAGAGGTCAAATAGGGCCAACAACAGCACCCGCCTCACGAGGTGTGAAGACCACATAATGCACCCCCACCGCCGGGCACTAGCAAGTGCTCCACAGACTTCGGTGTAATTATCATTCCACCACCAGTTACTGCCCCAGTTGCCCTGCAAGCAGAGCCTGCAACTCTGCTCTCGTTCAAGTAGCTTCTCAAGAAACGTGTGTGAAGGGGGAACCTGTAAAGGGGAGGGGGGACTCTGGGTAAAGGCACGGGCTCAGCTGGAGCCCAGCCCTGCAGCTGTCGCTCCCCGAGGCAAGGCGCACTTGAACTTTGAAACAGGGCAGCCTTTGCCTGCGGGCTGCCAGGCTTTTCCTGGCAAGGCGGCTCCAGCTAGGGCGCTTCTCAGAATCATAGAGCAGTGAGGCGTCAGCCCATCACTCGTGGCAGCAAAGCAGTAGAGGGGGGTCTGGGCTCTACCGCAGCGATCGTGATGACCCCGCCACACTTTACACTGGGAGTGGTTCACGTTCAAAGGCGGGTGTTACGTGCCTGCGGTCTTAAGGCCCAGAGCCTTCCAGCAGGGCCTCCTGAAGATGGTACAGCAGTGTTGCAGACAGTTACAAATCAGGGGTCCCCAGCGCAAGGCCAGAGAGGCAGGTACCAGGGAGTCTGGACCGGAAAGCAGGTGCCCTGCTGAAGGGCAGCCAGGGGAGACGTGGGCCCAGTTTCACCAGATCTTCCCGCTCGAGAAGAAAAAGCCATAAACGTTGATGCTTTAAATGTCTGGTTTGTACATACTGGCTTGAATTCTTGAGAACACCACGTGGGCTGACCACACGGGCCTGCTTGCCCCAGCGTGGGGCCAACACGCACTTGCAACTTGGCTCCCGCGGCTACGGTGCCAGCCTCGCGCTCACCTCCTCCATATTGACCTCGAAGGGGCCGGCTGACTGGCACTCGGGGCACGAGCCCGGCTTCACCTCCTGGTTCTGGGACTGGCAGAAAGGCCCCAGCACGAAGCCACACTTGTTGCAGTTGTACTTGACCATGCTGAGCTGAGGCAGGACGCCCGTGCAGCTGGTCACCACCCCGCTGGTGCGGATCAGCTGGTTCAGGTGCAGCTGCCTGTGGAGGCGAGGCGCCGTCAGAGACCGCAGGGCGGGGGCCGGACCCTCGCCCGTCAGTGAGGCCAGGACCCACGGGGTGGGCTTTCTCTGGCCGCGGCCACCCGCCACCCGCCACGGGTGCCCGAGCCCCCGCCGGCTCACCTGAGCGAGCGCAGCTCCTCCACCAGGGGCAGGTGGGAGATGCGCACGTGGACGCGGCTGGCGATGCGGTCATACTTGGGGTACATGGCCAGCACCACCTCCAGGGCAGCCTCGCTGAAGATCTGCAGCAGCTCAGCCGGCGCCTCGGGCAGGAAGTAGGCCAGGACGTGCTCCCTGGCGGCCAGGTCCTCGTAGTTCACCACCAGGCTCTCGCGGTTCTCTGAGGTGGGTGGGGTGGGAAGAGAGGCTGAGCGCGGAGCAGGCTGGGGCAGGCCCACCTCGCTACGAGAAGGGGAGGCCAGCCCGCTGAGCCCTTGACTCGGAGCTGGAGGCGCAGCCTCGCTCCCAAGTCCGCTCAGCGTTAGCGACGGGACCCAGAGAAGTGACCGATGCTAGGTCTCAAGCTCTGGACCTATGAAACGGGACCTAAGTGCCTGTGGGGGATACAGTGGAGTAACACATGGGGTGCCTGCCGCAAACTCAGAGTGCCTACAAGGCCAGGAGAAAACCTGCGAAGAAACGTGTCGGAAGTGAGACAAAAGGGAGGGGAGGGGCCGGTGGGGGACCAGGAGCCACATGCCTCCTCACATGCTGCTTTGTTCAGAAACGTGCTGCTACACTCTGATCAAAGCAGTAATCCAGATTTTCACATAAAGTCTGCCCAATTGTAAGTCCATCAAAAACGACTTCTGGGGCTTCCCTGGTGGCGCGGTGGTTAAGAATCCGCCTGCCAATGCAGGGGACTCGGGTTCGAGCCCTGGTCCGGGAAGATCCCACATGCCGCGGAGCAGCTAAGCCCATGAGCCACAACTACGGAGCCTGCACGCCACAACTACTGAAGCCTGCGCACCTAGAGCCCGTGCTCCACAAAAAGAGAAGCCACCACAATGAGAAGCCCTCACACTGCAAGGAAGAGTAACCCCTGCTCGCCACAACTAGAGAAAGCCCGCGCGCAACAACGAAGACACGGCACAACCAAAAAAAAAAAAAAATTAATTAATTTTAAATAAAACAAAAAAACGACTGCTGTGGTCCAGACGTACGTAGTCCCTGGACAGTGCGCTGGACCCACGATACTCTGTCTGAAAGACGGGCACCCCGGGCTCAGGCCCCGGCCCCGGCGCCCCACGTGCCCCGCACATCCGTCTGTCAAACCCGCCGCCACAAGGCCAGGGCGGGCGGCCTCCCGCGGGCACGGGGCAGGCGCACCTTTGCACATGTCACTGATGCGCTCCTTGAAGACGTTGTGGCCGCGGCCGTCCACATGGGTGCGCAGGAAGTTCTTGAAGCGGTGGTGGATCTCCAGCCGCGGGCCGGCCATGCTCACCCACTCGCGCACCGAGTGGCCCTTCAGGTCCTCCAGGTTCTCGATGCTCTCGATCATCTCGTCGGCCTCGCCACCGTCCTCCGTGGCCCGCTCCACCTGCCGCCGCTTCCGGCTGCGGCGCTCCTCCTCCTCCTCGTCGCTGTCTGGGGGCCGGGGGCACGTTCAGGGCCGGCTCCCCGCACCGCCTCCCGCCTCCCCCGGGCTCCCCGAGAACGCACCGTACAGGAGCCCGCGGCGCATGCGGCCCAGGCCCCGGCCAGCCTCCCGGTCTCGCCGCCGCATGACCCGCTCGGCCGCCTCCCTCTGGCTGGCGGTCAGCTCGTCCACGTCCTCGTCGTCCGGGGCCAGCCCCTCGGGCTCGTAGACATCTATCTCCGGGATGGGGCGGTAGTCCCTGCGAGGCCCCCAGATGCAGCCTGTTAGCACCCAGACCCCAAAACAAAACCCCACCAGGAACCGGGCTCCCGAGGGCTCCGGAGCCCCGGCCAGGGCACCTGGAGAGGCTCCGAAAGGCTCCCCCACGGATCCCACACGGAAAAGGACACAGTCTTCAAAAGGACGGACCTCCTGACACCTGCTGTGACACAGGCAAACTCTGAGGACACTGTGCTCAGTGAGACAAGCCAGTCACAGGACAGAAATCCTGCGTGATTGGGTTTGGGGAAGAAAGTCCTGGAGAGGGTGGTGATGGTCGTACAACGACGTGAGTGCCGTGATGCCGCTGAACTTACACTCAGAGATGGCCGAGACGGGAATCTTGTGTCATGTGCGTTTTCCCACAGTAAAAAAGGGGAGCTCTGAGCACCAGCAGGAAAGAGGAATCGGAGGACCCACAAAACCTTCAGCTGGAAGGGCCTTCAGAGAGCCAACGCAGCTCCCCACGGGCAGGAATCCTCCTGCACTCTTGTTTCTGGCAGCCCCGCCTCGAACCCCGGACCCCAGGAGGCCCACACACATCAGCCCAACCAGCCTCTCCCGAACACATCTGTGGCTCAGTCCTTCCAGCCACAGCGGGACCTTCCACGTGACCGCCTGTCAGACATCTGAAGGACTGATGCCTCAACAAGGACCCCCACCAGGGCAAACACAGCTCCCCTCCCCACGATTTGGGGAAGCACACATCACCCTCCATCAGAAAGATGAAGAAACCGAGGACAGGGGGCGGGGGTGATGGGATTTCTGCCAAAGGTCACTCAACAGAGCTGGGTATCAAGGTGGCTAGCTGCTTCCAATACCACACTGGCCCCACGACAGTCCTCTTGAATTCTCCCTTTCTCAGAGAACGTGGTAATTTGGAGAACTTCTTTTTTTTTTGGCCATAGACTCTGTCAAAGAACACTCTCAGATAATCCCACACTACTGACACCAGAAACAGAACCCAGAACCAGGTATGCTTCTGGATTGATCGCTTCCAAATTCTTAAGTGTTCTCAAGGAAAAGGTACCTGTCTAACTCGTTAAGAATTTCAAGTCATGGGCTTCCTTGGTGGCACAGTGCTTAAGAATCTGCCTGCCAATGCAGGGGACACGGGTTCAAGCCCTGGTCTGGGAAGATCCCACATGCCACGGAGCAACTAAGCCCGTGCACCACAACTACTGAGCCTGCACTCTAGAGCCCGCGAGCCACAACTACTGAGCCCACGTGTCACAACTACTGAGCCCACCAACCTAGAGCCCGTGCTCCGCAACAAGAGAAGCCACCACAATGAGAAGCCCGCGCACCACCACAATGAGAAGCCCGCGCACCGCAACAAAGAATAGCCCCTGCTCGCCACAACTAGAGAAAGCCTGCACGCAGCAACAAAGACCCAACACAGCCAAAAATAAATAAGTAAAAATAAATTAAAAAAAAAAAAGAATTTCAAGTCATGTGAGATGCCCTCAGTGAAATTCTAATTGGTCAATTTAAAAGAATTTGATAAATTAGACTTCAGCAAAGTTTTAAAACTGTACACATCAAAACCCACCATTTAAGAAAAATTAAAAAGACAAGCCATAGGTTGAGAAGAAGATATTCACAAATCACTTGTCTGCTAAATGCCTTATATCCAGAGTAAGTTTTTAAAAACTCTTACGACTCAATGATAAAAAGTCAAGGAAACAAACTATTGATAAACAATGGGCAAAGGATCTGAAGACGAATTTTCCAAAGATACTCAAATGGCCGACAAGCACATGAAGCTCTGCTCGACATCACTAGTCATCAGAGAAATGCACATCAAAACCACAGTGAGACACCGCCTCACCCCCATTAGGGTGCCTGTTGTCAAAACCCAGAAGATAACAGGTGTTGGTGAGAATGTGGAGAACTCGAACGACATATGCCATTTGTGGGAATGTAAAATGGTGCAGCTGCTTTGGAGAAGTCTGGCAGTTCCTCAAAAAATTAACAGACTTATCACGTGACCCAACGATTCCATTCCAAGGGAACTTAAAAATACATTCACATAAGAAACTCCTAGCAGCACTATTTCTAATTGCTAAAAAGTGTAAAGCACCCAAAATGTCTACCAACTGATAAATGGGTAAACAAAACGCAGTCTATCCGTACAATGGAGTACGACTCAGCCACGAAAAGGAATGACGTGCTGACGTGGGCTCCAACGTGGATGGACCCTGAAAAACACAGTAAGCCAAACAAGCCTGCACACGATGACACGTGTATTACAGACTCCACCTGCACGAAACAGCCAGCACTAGCAAATCCAAAGAAACAGAAAGTAGATTACTGGTTACCTAGGGGTGGGGAAGGGAACGGGGATTAACTATCAACAGGCACAAGGGATCTCACGGGGATGATGGAAAAAACTGGATTGTGGTGATAGGTGCACAACCCAGGAAATGTACTAAAACGTGTTAAATTGTATTCCTATAAGAGATAAATCTTACATTACAAAAATTATAGCTCAGTCAGGTGATTTTTTAAACAGGCCATAAAACCAAAACCTAACTGGGCCCATCTAGTCTTCAGATACCTCTACCCAGGCGTCCTTGTGAGGGAAGGACAGAAGACGCAGAGGGGGCGGATGGAGGGTGGCCGGCCGGGGAGGGGCGTCCTGCCTGCACAACCTCACAGGGCACAGCAGGGAAGCTGCTCAGGGCTGTTCTGTCCAGACTCCCCATCCATCCAGACTCTGGCCTGTGCTGCACACCCAGGCTCATCACCTGGAGTGATGGAGCTTAAAGCGAAGATCCAAATGGTCCAGAGTGCCCTGGATGCTCCCAAAGGGCTCTCCCTGTGGACTGTGGGGCGGCCTGAACAGTACTCTCATACACACCAAGTTTGAAGCCCCCACGTCAGAGTAAAGAGAGCCCCAAAGCAGAATCCCCACGAGGTTCCCGGGCATTCAGATAATTCTAGTGCTAATGTACAGGCCAAATCCTAGTTGTTAACACAGGGTGAGACACCAGTGGAATCTAACCTTGCTCACTCACAGGGCTTTACTCCACCATCTTAGCGACGAGCCTCCATAACCTTTACTACGTTCGTACGTTTATCAATAACGGTGAACACAAGGTCTGCTACAGATTAAGCACAATAACTGTGGGCTGAATTAAATCTAAATCTTGATTAATCACCCCCCCCCACACACAGTTTCTCTGAAGTTGCAGAGAAACTCTTGGCTACCTGCTTCCTGTCCTTCCCGGTTGGGGTCCCTGACGTGGCCCCGGATTAGAGATGCCCTGCGTCCCCTGGGGTGTACATCTCATAGCGCTGGGGCTTACCAAGGCCTTTGGGTCTACTCTAAGGTAGACAAAGCAAGTTACACGGACATATGCTGTGGCTCCATGAACCTGTCTCCCCCCAGACCCTGGACCAAGATGTGCTCAAAGCAAGCAGGCTCCGATATATCTGCTTCCCCGGGACACACAACAGCCCCCCAGCAGAGCTTGCTGAGAGCAGGGTCTTGAGCGCCGAACCTCTCCATGCCATCTCCGAAAAGCTCCTCTCCATCCTCCTCCTCCTCCTCCAGGGGCCCCTCTGTGCCGAGCAGTCCCTCCGACTCATCCTCAAAGGGAGGAAGGTCGCGGCCGGGGCTGGAAGTCAGGGCATCCGTGCGCCGGGAGCTCCGCCCAGGGCTGGAGGTCAGAGGATCGATGCCTCTCCGCCTCGGGGCCGGGCTGGACGCCACCGTGAAGGACTCGGATGATTCCTGCAAGAGGAGATGGATTGGAGCGGGTGAGGGCCCACTCAGCTTCCTGTACGGTGGCGCCCCCACCCATAGGGTCTCCCTCTCCACGGCTGACCCTATCCTCCCACGCTGCAAACCCCTCCCAGCCTGCACACTTTGCACCTGCTGTTCCCTCTGCCTGGAACGCTCCCTGAGCCCAAGGCTTCTCCACGCCCAGCGCCGGCTCATGCCTCACACACACCGTGACTCACCCGACCCCCTTTTCTCCGGGACAACCCACTGAGACTACCTGGTTAGCTGGTTTGCCTGTTTACCGCCTACTCCTCCCCCCAGCACGCGTTCCCGCCCTTCTGGGCCCCCGGTGCACCAGGAGCTGCCAGGGGTGACGGGACACGAGAGCGGCCACAACCTAAGGGGTCGGGGACCCAGGTTGGTGGAGGGGCAGTCAACTGACGAGGCTGCGGACGAAAGCAGCACGATAAGGAGGGCCCGAGCGCGCGGATCGGGCCGGGGGCCCGGGCTGCCGGGGTGGGGGGCCCGGGCTGCCGGGGTGGGACCCGCCGGCCTCGCAGACCCGCCCGACTGGAGCACGGGAATCGGCTCCGCGCCCTGCCCCCCACCGCCCGCGCTCCGCACGGCAGACGCACAGACTCCGCCGCGCTCACCGCCATCGCTGCTCAGTGCTCCTCTCCGCTCCGCCAGCAACAGCCAGTTTTCGCGCGAAAAACGGCCCACGTGACCGCCCGTGCCCGGGAAGCGTCTGAGGGAGCACGACGTCATGACGTTGGCGTCCATTTTCGTCACGCCGGCGCTCGGGGGCGGGCCCGAGCGTGCGGCCCCGCCCACGCTGCCCGAGACCCCGCCTAGCCCGCGCTCTGTGCTGCGGGGCCAGCCGAGGTGTATGACCTGGTGCTGTGGCCGGCTGGGGGCCTTGTTTTCTGACGTCTTCTTACTGTGTGATGTCAACTCCTCCAAAAGCTCAGGCTGCGTCCTTCAAGCGCCGAAAGGCGGGGGATGGTAGGAGGCCAGCTGTGACGTTCTAGTGGGGGTTACCCCCCCAAGGGAGCCGAGATGCAAGGGTGTTCCAGGTAGCAAGAGCCTCGTGCGCAGAGATGTGGAGAGCAGGGCACGGTGGGCATCTGCAAGTACTTTCCTAGTTCCAGTTAAACCGCTTGTGATGTTCAGGAAAGGACAAAAATTGAGGCTGGAGAGCCCAGATCACGAAAGATCACCAAGTCTTTCTACTGAGCTGGCCTGAGGGCAGTGGAGAGCTATGTGGGCTTTAGGAGAATCCCTCAGGCTGCCAGGGGTGGACGTAGATTGAGGCAGGTGGGAAGCAGTCACAGTTGGTTCCAAATCTGCGGATTCAACCAACAGGGTGGTTAGAAAAAAAGTTTTTTAATTCCAGAAAGTTCCAAAAATCAAAGCTTGATTTTGCTGTAGGCCAGCTAACTATTTACACAGCATTTACACCTATTTGCATAGCATTTACATTGTACTAGGTATTGTAAGTAATCTAGAAATGACAAAGTACACAAGAGGATGTACCTAGGTTATGCGCAAATATTGCACCATTTTATATGAGACTTTAGCATCCTTGAATTTTGGTATCTGCAGGTAGCCTGAAACCAGTCTCCCAAGGATACAGAGGGACGAGTGTGCTGCGATTCTTCGTCCAGGTACAGGCAGCCTGGGCTAGGGCAGGCGACCAGGGCAGGGCTGGATCTCAGCCCTCTTGCCCTGGCACTTTTGTGCGGTGAACAAGCATCTCGGGATGGGGCCCCGGGTAGGGGCGGGAGCGATGACGACGAGGGGAAATATCCAAGACGTATTCAGGAGATGGAGTCTCTCGGTCCTGGGGACCGGGGACAGCAAAAGGGAGGCACCCAGGATGGCAGCAGGATTCTGGCTTGGGTGGGTGACAGTGCCACCTCTGAGATGGGGGCGCGGGAGGAAGACAGGGAAGGAATCCAGCAGCTTAAAACAGCTGCCACGTTGTCTCAGCGTCCGTGGGCCCGGGCCTGGGCTTGGGCCTGGGGAGGGCTTGCTGGATGCCTCTGCCTCGTGGTCCGGCTGCTGAGCCAAGCACTTGTGTCTATTATTTAGGGAGCCCGGTTCTGCAGCAGCATCTCCTCCTGTCAGCCATGCCTCGGGAGGAACACCACCCTGAGCCTGGTGCAGGCGAGGGATGGAACCTGAGAGTCAGATCTTTATCTACTGAACTACCGTCCAGGGAAGCTCGCTGCTGCCATGCTCTGTCTGGTGAGCAGGGGACACTGCAGTGAGTCAGCACTCCTCTGTCCTAGAGGGAGGGGAGATAGATACCCTCATTACTCCACAAATGAAATCCTACGAAACCTATGCGTGGGGCCCAAAACTCAGAGTACAAAATGCAGAATTGCGCATGGTGGTAGCAAGAGCAAACTCCCGCCTCCTCCAAAGTGTCTGTACTGTCTCAAAAAAACAAAGATGGAGGGAGGGGGCTCATTTGGCTTAGTCACTGATTCTCCATTTCTCCTCCTTCCTGGCACAGGGTGGAAGGGAAGTTTCCTGCCCCTGGAGGTCAGAAGTGGCCTATGACTTGTTTTGCTGATTAAAGGTGTGCAGGGGGAATACATGTAACTTCCTGGCAGAAACTCTTGGAGCTGTCCCTTCAGGAAGACAGGCGCCTCATGGAGCTCAGCCTCTCTTGGCTGATACAGAAACTGCACGCTGACCAAGGCCCAGATAAACTGGGTCCCAGATGGTCACAAGGCAGCGGCTTCCTCACCTTCCCCTTGTTCGGAACAGGAGCAAGGCCAAGACTGGGGCCCAGTCTCATTCCAGCCCAGCTGTAAAACAAGTGTGGTGTCACGGGGTGTGTATCTTGGGGCTACTGTGATCAGTGGGTGCCTACGACAAGCACCAGGCCCTGAGTCAGCCTCCGCACGTTCAGGGACTGTGATAAGCATGGCTCTGTCCTCACGACACTGACATTCTAGTCTGGGGAGGCTGATGCTGAACTAGGAAGTGACTAAATGAATATAAACCCGTTAGAGAGATTGTGCTGCGGTGTAAGCAGATGGGGCAGGTGGTTCCCGAGAAAGAGAACCAGGAATGGCTTTCTTGACATAAGAGAAGCCATTTTTGGCTTGGTTGGGATGGAAGCCTGGCCACAGTGCTTACCCTTAAACAGGTCTCAGTAATGAATGATCTTAAAGGAGCAAAAGAATGCAGAAACAAACTGTTATCAGGTGAGAGAAGTAACAATGCTAGACAACGTATCAGTTGTAAAGATTCCCTGTTCTGATTCAATGGCAAAAATCAGCCTGAAGAGCTCAACCATCAGATCAACTGGACCCTAAGGGAGGATGATGGTGACCACCTCTGAGCCTCATGACTTCAATTAACTAAAACTTAGACTGCCCAAGCCCCTTGATGAATACGCATGTACCCTTAGCTTAAAACATCCCCAATTTTGTTGTTTGGGGAAGCACGAATTTGGGAAAAGTCCCCTATGTTCTCCTTACTTACTGCAAGTGATCAGTTCTTCCTTCTCCTGCTCTTTGCCTTGGTTGTGTCTTTCCGCTCGACGTCCACCAACAGACGAACCCAGTTTTGGTAACACTGGGAATGAAATAAAGGGGCTTTGTGTGACAGAGACTGGACAGCTATTTTGGCTAGGGTGTCAAGCAGGAGAGGGGGATCATGTGACAGGAGCCAGGCCGGGGTGGGGGTGGGGAGACAGGTGCAGACCCACAAGCAGGAACAAGCTTGGTATAGCCAAAAAAACAGAAACAGAGACCAGTGTGGCTTGAGCACCCAGTGAGGAGCGGGTGGGAGGGATAAGTTGGGAGGGATAAGGACTCAGAAGCAGGAGGGGCCTGACATGGTGGAACCCGGGAGAGGGGAAAGAGGAGTGAACACAGCAGGAACGCAGGAGATTAATCCGGGAAGGCTTCCCGGAGGAGGCTGCCTGTAGTTAGAGGTGAGAGGAGGCGGATCAAACCCCAGTTCTGGGCTTTGTCACTTCCTGGTCCTGTCGCTTCGGTCAAGCACTTAACGTCTCAGCCTCAGGTTCTCCTGAAATGCGACTAATTACAGCTGTTCTGAAGAGCTGCCGTGAGGCGGAGGGTGCGCAGCACTGCGTCAACCGCGGCCGCGAGGACAGGTGCGCGGGGGACGCGCCGGTCCGGGCGGGGCTTGTCCCCCGGGACCAGAGGTCCTCAGGCAGGCGGCGGAGGCTCCTCCCCGAACGCTCGGCTGCCGCCTGCGGGAGAAAGGTCGCGGGCGAGAGTGGGGGGGGCACGCAGGTCGCGGACAGCTGAAGACAAGGCCCCTTGCGGCCGAGAGGGCCGTGCGCTGTCTCTTTAAGAGGTTGGCGGGGCGGGCCGCCCCGCCCCCTGGGGATCTGATTGGCTCCTCCCGCTACGTGCGCCCTCTTTTCTGCGTAACCCCATTCCTATAGGCCGCTGCGGACTGGGGGCGGGCCTGCGTGCCGCAAGTAGGGACAGTGGCTGTTTTGCAGTTTCGGCGGAACGAAAAGGACGCGCCAGCCTTCCGGGTCACTGCTGTCGGAAGGGCCGCGCGGTGTCGGGCCCGACGGCGTCTCCCTACCCGCCCGCCCGCCCACCCAGTCTGCGGGAGCCAGCCGCCCGCGCCCCTTGTGCGACGCTCCCCGGCCCGAGCGCCGGAGGCCGAGTCCCGCGGCCTTGCGGGGTCCGCGGCCGGCGGCGGATGGGCGGCCGGGGCCTCAGGTAAGGAGGAGACCCCTCTCCTGCCCCAGCTGCGGGAACTGATCCCGGCGGCCCCCGTCCCGCCTGCCGCTCCTGCCGCCGGGAGCGACCCTCCCGCCCAGAGGCAGGCAGGGGGCGCAGAGGGCCGGCGTCCTGGGTCCCCGGGGAGGCCGGGCTTGCGGACCCTGCGATCCAGGTCGTGCGTGAAGACGTCCCTGCGAGTGGCCGAGTCCAAGTTCCGGCTCCCCGGGTCCGAGAGGGCGGGGATCCACTGGAGAGGGAGCGAGGAGTGACCTGCCCTCACGGTGCAGTAGGGACGGGGCCGAGGGCCTCCCTGACGGTCCTCCCACTCCCCAGAAGGGCTGGGCCGCACTCTGCTGGACATTCATCTGTCCACTCACAACGTTTGTTGTCCTGGGTGGCTGGGTCATGAGATGCGTGGGCTGGACAACCCACAAACACACAGCGAGGGCCGCTTCAGACAAACAGAGGTAGTCAGGGAGGGCTTCTCAGAGGAGGTGGCCCGAATGGTGAGCCGCAGCTGGGAAGGAGTACACACCGGGGCCCTGAGGTAGGAACAGCACAGCAGCTTGGAGAACAGGCTGAAAGACGGGCTGCAGAGTGGAAGGGAATCGTCAGGGCAGGTGGCAGGGGTGAGGCCAGGTTGGACCTTGAAGGCCCAGGGCTGTCCTTCCTCCTGGGGGCTCCTGGCAGGGTCCACCTCCCCCCTCCCCAAGTCTGAAGGATTAAGGGGTTGGCTCTGTCCTGTGGAGTCTTCCTCACCCTGTTTCGGTTCCAGGGTTTTAAGGCTCATCAACCAGCTCCGGTCGGAAGCCCTGAGGGGCGTTTAAGCAGCAGCCTCTCTGCTCAGGGTTTTGTTTGCCCCAGGGTTTCCCACCCAGTAGCTCTGGGTGGTCAGACCCACTGCACAGATGAGAGATGGGAAAGCGGAGGCCCACAGAGGGGAAGGTCCTTCTGGTCCAGGGTCTCACAGCAGGTCCAGCTCGCAAGACCCTAGCCAGTTGGCATCCTGCCCACAGAGGGAGGGAGGGAGGGAAGGAGGTGGGTGGGAAGAGGCCACTGGAATGTTAATGAGGTCAGGAGAGTCCTTCCCAGGTGGAAGAAACGCCCCAGACGGTGCCCCAGAGCACTTGGCATCCCAGGAACTTGCCCTCTGAGAATTCCCTTCCCCATCCCTCTGGTCTGGCTTCACCCCTCCCTCCCCTGCCCTCAGCCAGCCTTCCCACCATCCCCTCTTTCCTGAGCACCCCTTACTTTGCCACTGCTTGGGCTTCTGCCAGCAAGGCCAGGAGCTTACCTGTGGTGGGGAGAGGGGAATACAGGCCACAGGCTGACCTTTCTCAGCCTCTTTCCCCTTTGTGTGATGGGATGTTAGCAGTCCCCTCTCTTGGAGGCTGGTGTGGTGGCTCAGCAGGTGACCCCGTGGAAAGCCTCAACTGCACACGGGCAAGGAAGGGTGCATTGTCATTTCTATCGTGGCTTCAGTGATTTTGTGAGCTTTGACACATAGTGGCAGTTCTGGGGTGGCTCAAGTGTGGTCTGGGGCCAACAGAGCAGCAGTGCCAGCTGGGAGGGTGTTAGAGATGCAGACTCTTAGCCCCTGGACCTGCCTGACCCGAATCTGCTTCTTACCAACACTCCACTCTGGATCAAACCCGGCTGCAGGTGGAGACACCAAGGCCCCAGGAGGGGCCCCTGGCAAGTTGCCGGTTGGGGGCCTGCGCTGCCCGGCTCCGGGCTCTGTGCAGGGGGTGACATAAGTACCTCCCTGCAGGGTGGCAGGGCTCCGTGAGCCTTCTCTGCAGTTATTACAGAGCTAGCAGGGCTTGGTAGAGGGGGCTTAGCTGACGCGCTCCTTCCTCACCTCAGACTCCATAGCAAGTGGCGCTTGGACCCGTGAACCAGATCCTTCCCTGCTGCACGTCCCCCAGCCCCTCCTCCGGGAAGAAGAGCAGCAGTTACCTTTCTGTATGTGACCTTTTGTAGACATTCACTTCTCTGGTCTTGCTTGATCCTTACAGCAGCCTTGTTGAGGGGGGGGGTGTTATTGTCCTGTGACACCCAGAGAGGGGAAAGACTCCCCCAAGGTCACGGAGAAAGAACCTGGCAGAGCCAGAAGCACAACCAAGGTCTACCCAACTCGGAGTCAAACCGGCCTACGCAGGAAAGGGAGTTTGTTGGATTCTGTAACTGAAAAGTCCGGCCTGGGGTGTGGGTATCTACCTTCAGGTGTGGCTGGATCCAGGGGCTCCTGCAAGGCGCTATCTCCAGGATCTATTTCCATCAGTCTTTCACCTCTGTGTTGGCTTTCTTTCCACGTGGGACTCCAATGTGCACATTCCCTGGAGTTGTGGAGGGGTGGAGTCAGCAGTACCTAAACCCTGTGGATGGGGACTGGGGTGCTGAGGTGCCCCCACGGGAAAATGGGGTGCTGGACAGGCAAGGCCAAGAGAAGCCCTCTGACCGCCCCCCCTCCCCACTCTATCCGGCCCTCCTGTTTCTGTCCCCATTCATCCCCACGGGCTTCTCTGCCGTGTGGGGTCCCTGCAGGACGTCAGGCAGCCCTGGACCCCGACCCTGTGTCGCATGGGCACCCTGCGCCCTGCTCAGGTGCCCCGCGCTGCGCCACACCACCCCCACTCCGAAACCTCTGGCTTACAGCAGCCAAGGCTCAGCTTCTGGCGCTGGCAAGGGGCCCCTGTCCTGAACGCAGGACATCAAGGAGGGTCCTGCAACGGCGGGGCACCTTGTTAGCGAGGCAGAGGGGCAGTGTCATGGGGACACTGGGCTGGGCACCCCGAGGCTCGGGCCAGAGCCCTGGCCTCAGCCTGCCCTGCCGTCTTCCCTCACCCCAACGTGCGTCTGTCTGCGGGTCTTGCTGGCCAGCCCTCCCAAAGGGGTCCCAGATCCCTCCACTCCACCCCCGCTGCCCCCGCCGGTTCGGCCACTGTCCTCGCCGGCCTGGCCGGGCACTCCTCGGTCTCCCTGCCCCTCCACGGCAGCCTCTCCACGTGGGAGCGGGGCCGCGTCGCCCGCCTTCCTACACCCTCCTGTTGCATTTAAAGTGAGCTCACCATGCCGGTGGTCCCGGCTGACCTGGCCCCTACCCTTTCTCCTCTCTCTTCCAGCCTGCTCTTTGCCCTTTGAACAGGCCAAGCCTGTGTTTTCTTCTTAGCACTTATCTCTAGGAGAGGTTTGCTTTTGAAGTATGGTATTCGTGCTGGCTGTCGGCCTCCCCTCCGAGAATGAGGGCCCCAAGAGGGTATTTGCGTCCTGGCACCTGGACCTGCCGGCTCATAGCAGGTGCTCGGCCACGTCAGCACCGGTGGAAGGGTGCAGAGCGCGGGAACAGGGAGGAAACCAGCTTCTTTCCTTGGACCTACCGTGTCAGGCACACGTTCTCCCCTGCAGTACCTCCCGTCCTTGGTGTATCCTCAGGCTGCCAGTGGGGACGCCATCCCAGAGCCGCTGGGTGGCCTGTGGGAGAGAAGGATGGGGATTCTGAGCCCTACGTCTCGGCCCTCCCGCTTCGGAATCTCCCCACTTTCGGCAGAGCAGCTCGTTCCACAGCTTGGCCCGCGGGGTGCTGCCCTGCAGCCTGCTGTCCAGGGACGTGAGCGCAGCACGAGCACGGGATCCTGTTGCTTCCCTGCAAACCCTGCAGGAGGCGTCCTGGGCTGCTCCCTGCTGAACGGGAGACCTGCGCTCTCAGCATAAACGATTCATCTTTTCCATTTTTTTAAATCTACTGACGCGTAACCCATACGGAAAATCGCTTGGATCACAGGTGCGTGGCTCCATGAACCGCGACACTGGAGCACGCCAGCGTGCCCGCCACCGGGTCGTGTCTCCAGGGCTGGCCCCGCGCCCTCGACCCTCCACAGGGCGCCCCTCCTGGTGCCCGTGTAGGGGCAGGCCGCGTGCGCACAGCTGGCCGGGCTCTGCTCAGTGCCCGGCTGCCAGGCCCTCCGTGTCACCGCAGGACAGGAGTCACTCTCATTTCTGGCCGGCGTTCCACCGGTCATGCGGACCCCCTGTTGACGTGTCAGTTCTGCTGATGGGGGCACTTGGGCTGCTCCCGCCTGGGGCTGTCGCGAATGGCCCAGAAATGGGGGCGCCGGGTCAGGAGCCCAGTCTGTTCAGTCATCGTTTTAAAGGCTGGCATCTGTCACGTCCCGCTGCCGCCCGGGCCCATGTGCTCCCTGCGACGTGCTGCTGCCGCCGTCCAGTCCCCGACACAGAGCCGACAGCGAGGAATGGACCCTGTCAGGGGCTGGGTTGCGACCCGGGCGGGAGGGAGCGCCACACCTGCCCCCCACCTGCTGGCCCCCACCACCCACCAGAGGCCCAGGGTTGCACAGCCCCTGCGCTGCTCACGTGGTGGCTCTCACCCCCCAGGGCCGGCGGCTGGCGGGATGGACACCCCGGAGGAGGAGATCTGGGCCAGCGGGGCCCCGCCCCCGGCGCCCAACATCAGTGTGCCGCACCACTGTCTGCTGCTGCTCTACGAGGACATCGGCACCTCTAGGTGAGGCCGGCAGAGTCCTGCCGGGCTGCGTGACGGCGGGTTTCCGGGGTCGTGTGTGTGTGTGTGTGTGTGTGTGTGTGTGTGTGTGAGTGTGAGAGAGACAGAGAGACAGAGAGAGAGCCGGGTGGGCTGCAGACAAAACCCCAGCAGTGAGCCGCCTTCTGCACCCCCCTGCTAGGGTCCGGTACTGGGACCTCTTGCTGCTCGTCCCCAACGTGCTGTTCTTCATCTTCCTGCTCTGGAAGCTTCCGTTTGCTCGGGCCAAGATTCGAGTCACCTCCAGCCCCATTTTTATCACCTTCTATATCCTGGTGAGTTCATTCCAGTTGGTGACAGAAAACCCAACTCCAACTGGCTTAAGCTGTCTTTGTAATGAGATACCAGCTTCAGGTATGGCTGGATCCAGGGCATTAACTGATGTCATCAGGACTGTCTCTCTCTCTGCATCTCTGCTCTCCTCTGGCCTTATCGCAGATGAGTTCTCCCCATAAGGTATCAGAGGTAGCCAAGAGCAGCTCTGAGCTAACCTCCCTGCCAACTCCAGCAGAAGGGTACCTCTTTCCTGATGCTGCAGTGTTGACCTGCAGTTCCCTCTGAGTGGCCCACCTTGGAACCCCTGTTCATCCCTGAGCCAGAATCTGTGACTAGTAGGGAAAGGGACACTTTGGAGCTGGGATGGTGGGGTCAGCTCAGCCAGACTGTATGGACTGAGGAGGGGTGGTGGTCCCAGGAAGAAAATCGGGGAATGGTTACTAGAGGGAAGGGGAATGGATGCTGGGCTGGGGAAAAAGCCCACTGCATTCTGAACCCTAGCTGTGCTGAGTGACCGTGGGCCAACAACTTGGCCTCTCTGGACCTCAGTGCCCTCCTACACGACGTGACGTGGATCTGCTTTAGTTTGCGGTGCTCCCGTGAGCACCCAGTGAGACTGCGCAGAGTTCCAGCCCCGTGGGGGCCCAGCACACAGTGGGCACATGGCCCTGAGTGGTGTCACCCTCCCTGAGATGGGACATGGTTTTCAAGGCACAAAGGACAGAGTGTACAAATCTGGGCTCTTCCGTTCATATGTGTCAGAAAACTGAACTTAAGCTCACAGAAGCCCAGGGTGGGGTGGGGTGGGGTGGGGTGGGTGGGTGCGGGGTAGTAGTGACTGAGAAACTGACAGTCCCAGCTGGATCCCAGGGTGCTGTCTCCCTGTATTTCGTAGATGAGGTGCAGCACAGACAGGTCCCAGAGGCAGCGAGCGGCAGGTCTGGGATTAGAACCCGGCAGGCTGGCTGCACCACGTCACCCTAACAAGCCTTCCCAGGCTGTCAGCGTAGCCAGGAAGCCAAGGCCCAGAGGGGAGGCCAGGCCTCCCTGCATCCCACCCAGGCGGCTCGTTTAGTGTGGAATCCTTCCATTCTTGAGGAATTGAGGGCTCCTGCAGACGTGGGGTGTGGGGTGCAGGCCCTGCGATTCCCGGAGCTCTTGTCCCCCGACGCCAACCCCCCAACCCCTCTCTCGCTCACCAGGTGTTCGTGGTGGCGCTGGTGGGCATCGCCCGGGCCGTGGTGTCCATGACGGTCAGCGCCTCAGATGCTGCGACTGTCGCTGATAAGGTGGGGCTGGGCCTGCTGGCAGGGCTGCTGGGCACTGGGAGGGGGCAACCGGCCCCCAGGCTGACGCTCTGCCCACTCTGTGTCCAGATCCTGTGGGAGATTACCCGCTTCTTCCTGCTGGCCATCGAGCTGAGCGTGGTCATCCTGGGCCTCGCCTTTGGTGCGTCTGCTGCTGCGGCCAGGGCTCCCCTGCCCCTCCCTGGCTGGGGCCGACCCCACCGTGGTTCCCTAGGCTGGCTCCCGCTGACTGACCAGCACGTTTCTTCCAGGTCACCTGGAGAGCAAGTCGAGCATCAAGCGGGTGCTGGCCATCACCACGGTGCTGGCCCTGGCCTACTCTGTCACCCAGGTGAGGTGGGGGAGGGCAGCCCCGGGGGTCACCGGGGCTGGGCATCCACTGCCTTCGGGCCCTGAGTCAGAATTGAGTGTGCAGTGGCTCAGACTTTAAATGCAGCTAGGGAATCACCTGGGCTGCTGGTTAACAAGGCAGGTTCTGGGCCTCTCCAGTTCCGATCCAGTAGGTTGAACTTACCGTTTCAACAAGCAGTCCAGGTAGGGAGAGTGCAGGTCTGTAGATCCCCGTGCGTCCAGAGACCCCTTTCTTACTTGGGGGCTGCCCCTCCCCGGGCCTGTTCTGAGGGCTGGAGCTGGGGGGCAGGGCGTGGCCAGAGAGCTGGCTAGAGAAGGGGACGGAGCGCCAGGCAGAGCGGGGCTTGGTGTGGTGGGGAGCCCAGGGACGGGGCGTTCCAGGTCCAGGAGCCCCTAAGACCCTCCCCTGCCCGCCGCTGCAGGGCACGCTGGAGATCCTGTACCCGGATGCCCACCTCTCGGCTGAGGACTTCAACATCTACGGGCACGGGGGCCGCCAGTTCTGGCTCGTCAGCTCCTGCTTCTTCTTCCTGGTGAGCTGGGGGGTGGCCAGAGCCTCGGGCACGGCCTGCTAGCGGGCTCAGCACTGGGCAGGAGCTCCCTGCGTCCCGGTCAGCGCCAGTGTCTCCGCAGGTCTACTCTCTGGTGGTCGTGCTCCCCAAGACCCCGCTGAAGGAGCGCATCTCCCTGCCCTGTGAGCGCCTGGGGACGGGGCTGGGCGCGGGGTGGGCTGTTGGCCTTGCGGTGGCCTGGAGCGGACAGCTCTGGGTGGGTGGGAAGCAGGGAGCCGGTCCGGTCCCAACACCTGGGCAGGACCTCATGCGTGCCCACCCTGCAGCACGGAGGAGCTTCTACGTGTACGCGGGCATCCTGGCGCTGCTCAACCTGCTGCAGGGGCTGGGGAGCGCGCTGCTGTGCGCAGACGTCATCGAGGGGCTCTGGTAAGCGGCCGGGGCCGGGAGGGGGCGGGGGCCAGCCGGGTCGCTCCGCCGCAACCCTAACCTGCCCGCCGTCCCCCCAGCTGCGTGGACGCCACCACCTTCCTCTACTTCAGCTTCTTCGCGCCCCTCATCTACGTGGCCTTCCTGCGGGGCTTCTTCGGGTGAGTCCTCCAGCAGGGGCTGCAGGGAGGGGGACTGGGGGACGGGGTTCCAGGTCGCGCTCTGGGCTTGTTCGCCCCCAGCTTCCAGGCTGCGGGCGCCCCCGCGTGGCCGCCGTCGGGATCACGCCTTCTGCCTCTTGGGCATGCGCAGCCGCCACTGCAGCATCCCAGCCTCTGGGCTCGGGGCTGGGGGGCAGCTCAGGCTGGGACCGGAGCTTGAGGAGGCGGACAGGGTACATGTGTGTACATGCACGTGCGTGCGGATATACGTGCACACTCGGGCGCGCACACATATGCATGCGCCCCTATAGATATAAACACACACACGTGTATACAGGTGTATACATGTGTAACGCGCACGTGTACACATGTATGCGTTTATATGCACATGTACACACATGCATGCATATAGCACACCCATACAGGCACGCACAGGTTCACATAGATATATATAAATACAGACATAACACATTATGCACACCACACACAAAGACGTGCACTTTTCCCACAAGAGAGACAGGCCATGCCTGCCGATCTGCACTGTGTTTTTCATTTAAGGATAGATGAGCTCATTCCTCAGCACCTGCTGTAGCCGCAGACACAACAGGGAACAAAGCAGACACAAACCCCTGAGCTCGCGGAGCTTGTGTTCCATCTGGGGGCAACCGGAGTGGGGAGCAGTGCTGGGGGGAGTCCAGTGTGTCTGTGAATGTGGGGTGGGGTACACTTTTGTGACTCAGACGTGGCGGAAGCAGGCGTTCTGCCCCCAGCTCCCCCTTCCCTGCCTGCCAGGTCTGAGGGTGGGCTGCAGGGGTGCCTCAGCTCTGGAGCAAGAAGGACTAGATTGGATCCTCCCAGCCCTGATGTGCATGACCTCACACGTGATTTATCTCCCTGGCCTCAGGCTCCTTTTTGTAAATGGGGAGTGAGGCTTTCTCCCTGGACAGTTACCCAGAGGACTGAAGACAGGCGGGCACCTGGTGGGCGGTAGTTAGTGCTGCGGGGCAGGGGTCTGGGCCCGCGTCTGCCCCACACTGTGGGCAGGTGCTGTTTTAAGGCCCGTCATTTCCCCGGGTCCAAATCCTTCCACCCATTTTACGGTGAGAAATCAGGCGCTCGCCAGGCTCCCATGCCAGCAGCAGGAGGGCCGCTTTTAATACCGGTGTCCCAGCGGACTCCAACATCAAAGCAAGGAAGGGGACCTCGCGGGGTGGGTGTTAGGGGGCCGTCAGCACGTTTCTTGCCATGTCTGATGCTTCATTGCCCAGCCCCAGCGAGGAAGGCCTTTCCTGACCCACGGTGGGGCTCCCCTGCCTCTCTCCTCCCCCCCCAGCTCGGAGCCCAAGATCCTCTTCTCCTACAAATGCCAAGTGGACGAGACCGAGGAACCAGACATGCACCTGCCCCAGCCCTATGCGGTGGCCCGGCGGGAGGGTCTAGAGGCGGCGGTGGCCGCCAGCACGCAGTTCGACTCGGCCGGGGGGGTGGCCTACCTGGACGATGTGGCTTCCATGCCTTGCCACACGGGCAGCGTCAACAGCACGGACAGTGAGCGCTGGAAGGCCATCAACACCTAGCCTGGCTGCCCCGGGAGGGCGGGAGGGCCTGGGGGCCTGTGGAGGGCCGGCTGGGGAGTGCGGAGCCCCCGGCAGAGGGGAACAGGGGTCAGGCCCGTGCGTGGGCGGCGGCCCCGTGCAGGCCCTGTCCCACCCTCTGTCCCCCGCTTGCCTGCGGCCAGCTCTGCTTCAGCTGGGGGCCGCCTCCCCCTCCACCTGCCCTCGCCTTGCTCGGCGACTCGGCCCCGACTCTCACGTCTCAGGGCCAGGCCTGGCTAGGCTGGCCGAGGGCAGCTCCCTGCAGCCTGGGCCCCCAGGACTGCTCTGATCCCCCTTAGCCTCCGCCCCCCCCCCCCCCCCCCCCCCCCCAAAGCCCACTCTGGCGGATGGGCTGAAGTGTGTATATTTTCTTGATGTGTTTTCTAATAAAAAGGAAAAGGAGCAGAAGGTGTTGACGCGAAGGCTGTGCGGGGATACCGGGGCCAGGGTGCCCCTCTGCACTGGGAGCCCGGAGTACCTGCTGCGAGGCCCCGTCGGAGCAGAGGGGACGGCCGTGGAAAGAACCGTGGTTCCTGTGCGCTGTCCTGTCTGCCCCTCACGCTCTGTTATCCCGGGCAGCATTCCCCTCCTGCAGCTTCCGTTTCCGCATCTGTGACATGGGGATAAGAAGGCCTGTCTCGCAGGGATGTTTGTAAGGGTTAGCGGAGAGCAGGTGTGGCTGGCTGGCACGTGGTGGTGGAGCGACGGTGACCACAGGCGTTATTTTTAGGGACCGGAATAGTGCTCGGCACGTAGTAGGCCCTCGGAAGGTAGGATGTGGGGACTGATGTTCATAATCATGGATGTGATGAGCTGAAAGTGGGGACAGGTCCGAATAAAGCCCGGGGCCCTGGGGGGCTGAGGGCCAGGCCGCACTTCCCCTCCACTGCCCACCTTCTTTCTCAGGAGGGCACCGAGGGCACCAGCTCCAACACACTCATGACTGGGGGGCCAGCGGCCAGGCTCCCCGGATCCAGGGCTGTCAGCAGGCGTGGGCACAGCCAGCGAGCTGGACTCCGGGGCCCGCGGGGCTGCCAGGGCGCTCTTGCAGGCTCCTCGCCGTGCCCGGCCCGGCTGCCACCCCACAGCTCTCACAGGAGCCTGTTAGGTGGGGAGGGCAGCCAGCGGGGCATTCCGAGCCGGGCAGGTGTGGGGGGGCCAGACAGGGAGGAACTGGTCCTCAGATCCAGAGCTGGGTTCGCCATTGGCAGCGTTGACGGGCTGTGTCTAAGACGGCACGGCGGCAGCCTGCGTTGGCTCCGTGTGGTGACTTGGTAGAGGGGGCAGCACAGGAGGCCTGGAGCCCGTTGCAGGGCAGCTGGTAGACTGTGGAGGCCGGGGGGAACCTCCGCTGCTCTGACCCCATCTCCCTGCCCCCCTCCCCAGAAGCACCGCAAGGCCGGGGTCTTCCTAACCTTCCAGGAGCACCTGTGTTCACACACGTGTATGCACGTTACCCCTAGTTTGGGAGCGTGAACGTCTAGCTCGTTTCCCACGCTAACACCTGGTCTTGGGCTCATTCCATGTCAGGTGGGAGAGCTGCGAACGTTCTGGATACGTGGCAATTGATTTACCCAGTCCCCTTGGGAGGGACCTTGGTTCCTAATATGTTTTGCAACAACAAACAATGCAGCAACCCAAATCCTTACAAATAACTCACACAGGTGGCATTGCTGGAGCACAGCCTTCACTCGTTAGTTAATTAGTCTCGCAGTCTTCCGGCGAGACTAATCGTCGTCCTCCAGTACGTGTTCTCCTTTCCTTCCGCTGTCACAGGACACCTGACTTGTAGCTGGATACACAGCTGCCTGGAACAAAGACTACATTTTCCAGCCTTCCTTGCAGGGCCTGGCCAGTGGGATGTCAGTGTGTGTGCAGCTTCCTTGAAGAGAAAGGATAGGCTTTTCTTGCTTGCAAACTGGGATGTGGTTGCAATGGCTGGAGTTGTAGCAGCCATCTTGAATCATCGGGGGATCTTGGAATGGGAGCCTCTCATGGCAGAGCGTCAAGGTAGAAGCAGACGAGGTCCCCGACACTAGTGCACCCCTAGCCTTCCTCCTTTGGATGACCTGTTGGATGTGAGAGAGAAGTAAACCTCTGTCTTTCTTAAACCACTTTGGATTTTTCTCTCACTCATAATCGAACCTAATCTGAACCGACACACGCTTCAAAGAGGCTGTACCAGTTTTGACCCCCATGAGCACAGCCTCACCAGGGCCGTGTGCTGTTCAAATTCTTGGTTGCTCCACAAGTCCGTGCTCATGTCTGTCCTGCTGGAAGCGCACCCCGTGTGCTGCATCTGGGCGGGAACAGACCTCATGCCGACGAGTGGCCAGGATGTGGGGCGCTCTGGATGACGAATCCACCATATTGGCTCCACGTTCCAGTCTTACGGCCTCCTGCTGTTCACAGCCTGTGGACCTTGACATCGTGCCTCTCTGACCCTCGGTTTCCTCATCAGTGACACAGGGCTGCGGGTGACCGGTGGCCACGTGATATTCATTTTCCCTCCCTCAGTAACTGCGTCAGGATGTTTGGAGGATCAGCGAGGCACCAGATGGAAGGTGGCATCCCTGCCCCTTGACATTCACTCAGGTGCCCACGTCCTGGTCATTAGGGTGTTAGCAGGAGTATGAGACTTCCTATAGCACAGACTGCTTAAGGGAGCTGACTGAGCTCGGAGGTGTGCTCCTTTGTCCTCCTGCCTGCTCCTTCCTGCTTCCTGGAATGCAGATGCGATGACTGACTCCAGCAGCCAGCCTGGATGATGAGGTGACTTTGGGAAGCTAGTCAACAAGGATGGTCAAACAGAAAGACAAAACAAGCCCTGTCCCTAATGACGATGGCACTGCCATACCAGCACAGCGCTACTACGCGATAGAACGGAATTCTCACGCACGAAAGACTACCTCGTTTACGGCAATCCCGATCCTAAGGGAAACACGTGAAAATCCGAAAGTGTCCCCCAAGGCGTCACGTGAGGGAGGGAGGATATTTCCAGACACCAATTTGTGTCTTTTCCTTCCTGAGCCCACCCTTCTCCCTCCCCATCAGAGAGAGTTTGGGCCTGGGCTTACTTGTTGAGGGAGACTGCGGCTGGTGGACGACCTCTGACTTTGTTTCCAGATGCCTTGGGCTACAGAGGCAGCAGGGGCTTGTGGGAAGACACAGGTGGGATTCCCTTTGGAGTGAGGTCCTTCCATCCCCGAGCACTGGGGACCAGGCACGGGTGAGGCCAGGCTGCAGATAAGATGCTCCCCTGTGGGTTTAGGGCACAGAGCGCTCAGCGGCTGCAGAGGGTCCCCCAGCCCGGGTGTGGCTCTGACACCTGCAGGTCCCGTGGCCAGGAGCCCTGGAGGACCCACGGCGTATCTGTCTGCTCGGCTGCTATAATGGATTCCATGGACGCGGGGAGGGGCTTGAACCACAGACGTCTCTTGCTTACAGTTCTAGAGGCTGGACCTCCAAGATCGAGGGTTGGCTTTTCCCAAGGCCTCTGTCCTGGGCGTGCTGGCCGCGTCCTCTGTGTGTGCACATCCCTGGGGTCCCTGTGCCCACAAGGACCCAGTCAGATTGGATTACGGCCCACCCTGATGGCCCCATTTACATTTAACGACTCCTTAAACGCCCCCGTTTCCACATACGGTCACATCCCGAGGTCCTGTGTTCCGGACCCCACACTGACACAATGCCCCCTTTACAGACGGAGCAGCAGAGGGACAGAGGTCACACAGCCTCCAGAGGCGGATGCCATCTGACCCCAGGCCTCCAACCCTGTGCCTGCTGCCCAGACTCACAGACGCACCTCCCTCAGGAGACGGGCTCCGAGCCTTGCTGCTGGGGCCATCAGACCAAGGCGAGGAGGCTGTGTAGCCACGCCAGGCCAGTCTGGGGGGCGGTGCAGAGGGCCCCCAGCGGGCTGCCTGGGGGTAAAGGGAGCCCCTGGTGTTTGTGGCCGCGCGCCGCCCCAGCGGCTCCTGGCGCAGCTCCGCTGTTCCCCACCTGTGACCCCAGCAGGCCCCTCGCGGGCGGATCCCCCAGCGGAGCGTGCTGCTGCCGTGCCTCCTTGGCCTCCGTGCAGCCCCCAGGCCCACCCTGTGCAGGGCCTGGCACCGAGCAGCTCCCTTCCAGGCAGGACCTCCCGGGGTGCCGGAGCCGCCTGCGGGGAGCGGCCGTGTCATCGGCCCCGGGAGCAGGGGCTGCGCCGGGCGCCCGAGCGTGGCCAGCGTTTTATTTCTCATATTGTTTGCAGGTGGTGACTCAGCTGAATCATTCAGCAAATCAAGGCCCAATCACCACCCACCGTGAAGAGCGTTTAAAGCTGGGCTGCAGTCAAGATCTCGTTAGGCACTCGAGGCCCCCGGACGCAGAATCAGTTCCACTCGGCCGGGGTCGAGTCGGGAAGATTGGAGAGCGGCCCTGAAGACACGGTCCTCCCGGGGCCGGGCCTGCCCGGGACGGGGGCCGAGGGCTGCCCCGAGTTGGTTGCCTGGCATGGGTGGTAGCACCCCCCCTGGAGTCATCCAACAGCCCCGGTGAGGGTGGCCTTCCGGAACATTCCTGCTCTTCCCCTTAAGATCTGACTCCAAACTCTGGCTCTCATCATCCCCATAAACGCAGGGGGCCCAGGGGCGGGAAGAGGTGGGGGAGGGGAGCCAGGGCTGCCACTGTCCCCTGTGCCTGAGGGAGGAGCTTCCCACAGGCTGCGCTGAATAACCGCCGTGTGCCCTGGCGGCCGCCGTGCCGCAAGGGCGGCTGAACGTGGCAGGGTTTCCTTTTCTTTTCTGAGCTGGTACGTGCTGCCCCCAATAGATCAGTGAGAAAGAAAGAAAAGGGGTGTCAGGGAGGCAGCTGGCGGGCTCCGCCACGTACCCCGGGACACGAAGACCATCGGTAGCTGGTGACGCACCGCCAGCTCGTCTGTTTGCCATTTCCCCACAGTCCCTGGATGGTGTTTTGAAAACAGCTTTATGAATTGAGCATCACGGATACAGCGAAAGCCCCCGTGTAGCCTCCCTCCTGACTCTGCCCCAACCCCCAGGTAACCACTTTCCCGCCAGCTTGAACTTCGTGTTTATCCCCGCGGCACACGTATGTGTGTCCGCAAACAATGTGCTCTGAGTCAATCAACCGGCTTCATTCTGAGCTCTTCTTCCCCGACTTGATTTTTTTCACTCAGTTTTGTGTGGGGGACTTCTCCTACGTTGCTACTTCCTACAGCACTCCGTTGTGTAAACAGAGCATCGTCTACTTGTCAATTCTATCTTTCAGGTTGTTTCCAAACCGTGAAAGCGAGCGGCGACCCGATGCACATCCCACCTCTGACTGGTTCCCACGTGCCCTCGAGGGGCTCTCGGGCGGATCCAGAGGACGGAGCTGCTGGGGTTACGGGCGTCCGCGTCTGCAGCTCCAAACTTCTCCCGGTGGTCGATGGTGGCGATCAGGGCACAGGCCAGGGGCTCTCACACTGGGGTCCTCACCCCTCAGGGCTTCTGAGACCCTTCTAGGGGTCCCTGAGGTCAAAGCCATCTTCGTAGTAGTGTGAGATGTTCCAGCCTTTCTCACCCTCTCACGAGTGCACCGTAGAATTTTCCAGACCAGCGTGTGGTAATGTCACATGTGGCTCTTCTGCAAGTAATGATGGCCAAAGGCACGTGTGCTTTTGGTTGTTACTGAAATTAAACTTTGAGTATATAATTTCGAATATGTAAATGTTGGTAGACAAAACTCCAAGCCACAAAAGCTCTTCGAGGCCCTCAATAGTTTTGAGTGTAAAGAAGTCCTGAGACCAAACAGGATGTGGGACAGACCCACAGCCTGGACCCCAGGGCGGGGCCCGACGGGGCTGTGGCAGCTGCGTGGCTCCTTCCCACTTCCTGGGGCGCCGGTGGCACAGTGATGGCACACGGGGCTGCCGGAGATGTGCTGACCGGCCCTGCTCGTGGGCCCCCAGAGGACGTTCGTGCGCCTGGAATTCTCGGCACTTCTCAGAACAGCCGCAGCCTGACCCCTCGGCCGCTGGGGGTCGCTGAAGGCGTGTCACAGACCTGACCTCTCTGATCCTGTCCCGCTGGGCACACTGAGCATCTGAGCAGGGAATCCTTTTCGAGGCTTGGGGAGGGGCGGGAGGTGCTGAGGCGGGAAGTCAGGGAGCCTGGTGCAGGTCAGACTCTGCTCCCAAGAGCGACCTTTACCCGCCGAGTCCCGGGTGCAGACGCACGGAAAAGGAACAAAGAACTTCTTTCCCTGGACCATCTGAGAGCCATGGGCGACACGATGCCCAGCACCACGGACGCTTTTTTGTGTATTTCCCTCAAACAGACACTCCTCCTGCGTGACCACTACGCCAGCACTCGTGTCAGGAAAGCACACGGATACGACAGCACCGTCCAAGCCTCAGACTCCACACACGCTTTGCTGATGGTCCCCGTCATGTCCTTTATGGCAAAAGAATCTAGTTCAGGACCCCAGGCTGCCAGGTTGCTGCCGCTGTGAGGAACCTCTTCTCCTCATCCATTCATCCATTTGTTATTTATTTATATTTATTTATTATTCAGAGGAAAACAGGGACCCTTTTGAAAGGGGGCACAATCATAATTACACAGGGACCCTAGGTATAAAGCAGGACTTTTCCCCAGAAAACTGGGAGGTGGGCTCACCTGTGACATGCCCCTCCCCAACGCCAGCTGGCGCCCTGCTAAGGAGAGCACGCTGCCCCCGCTGCAAAGGGCATCCCTGCCCCCCAGCTCCAGAAGCCAGGCCTTGAAGGGCCTCCTGACACCGCCCGCCCCTCACCTCCACAACCGTCCTGTCACCAGGTCCCGTGCATTCTACTTCCAGCTATGGCGTCGTCCACGCTACCACCGCACCCCTCCCATCCCCTCTGCAGGCTGAAGCCAGAGGCTCTTTAAAAATGCACCTCCCATTCTGTCCCTCTGTGCCCTCCCCCGTCCCCGCCCCCAGCTCCCAGAGGCCCTGCCCTCCTCACCTGCCTTACCTGGAGCCTACCTCCCTGGCTGGGCTCCAGCACCCTGGTCTGTGGGCCCCTGTGACTCTGAGCTTCCCAGCGCCAACCTGCCAGACACGGACGGAAGGAGATTGCTCGTGGCTGTGAATGTTTATGGTTACTGAGTCATCTTGTTTTACAGCCATTGAGTTAAATTCATCAGGAATTGTATGGGCTATTATTTTGGCTCCAGCTGTGATCTCTAATTCAGCTTGGCGACGTGGCCTGGGAACTTCCCACCCGACACTAGAATCAGCGGCCTCCACGCGCTCGCCCTTCTTGCTGCCCCTCCCGCCGGGGCTCACCCGCCAACAACATCAACAACCCAAAGGCCTGGTCCAGGAAACAAAGTCTCAGTCGGGCGCTGTATTTAGCCCTCTCAGGCATGACACCTGATATACTGGTGTAAAAGACCCAGCTCGGGCTTCCCTGGTGGCACTCCTGCGTGGGAAGCAGCCCCACGGCACAGGGAGATCCGCTCGGGGCTCTGTGACCGCCTGGAGGGGTGGGAGAGGGAGGGAGGGAGGGTGGGAGGGAGGGAGACGCAAGGGGGAAGAGATATGGGAACATGTATATGTATAACTGATTCACTTTGTTATAAAGCAGAAACTAACACACCACTGTAAGGCAATTATACTCCAATAAAGATGTAAAAAAAAAAAAAAAGAATCCTCCTGCCAATGCAGGGGACACGAGTTCGAGCCCTGGTCCGGGAAGATCCCACATGCTGCGGAGCAACTAAGCCCGTGCGCCACAAGTACTGAGCCTGTGCTCTAGAGCCCGCGAGCCACAACTACTGAGCCCACGTGCCTAGAGCCCGTGCTCCACAACAAGAGAAGCCACCGCAATGAGAAGCCCACGCACCTCAGTGAAGAGCAGCCCCCGCTCGCCGCAACTAGAGAAAGCCCGCACGCAGCAACAAAGACCCAACGCAACCAAAAATAAAATTAATTAAAAGAGTTATACCCTTAAAATTTATGATTTTTATTTATATATGTTATAATTCAATTAAAACTTCCTGCTGGACGTCTTCCCCTTACTTGGTTTACCAGTTTCTGATTACTCTTCAACTTTCTAGTCTCGGTTTGGTGCATGTTTATTTTTCTCACTATAGGCTGCTATGACCACTGTCATGTTCATGGATACACTAGTTCTATTCCTTCAGTTAGCTCACAAACTCTTAGAAAACAACAATGTAAAACTGCTCAAATGTACAGAATGGATGCTAGATGTAAACAGATTTAATGGCTGGATTATAATAGAAATGGAGATATGGGGATATATGTATATGTATAGTTGAATCACTTTGTTATAAAGCAGAAACTAACACACCACTGTAAAGCA